GCCTGCCTGGGATAGTTTACCCTGGAAGACTGATCCTATGGAAGGGGAGTTATAGTGGCCTGGCTGGAGGACCAGGCTGCAGATCCTGGCACAACAGGAACTACAGGGTGAGAGGGCAGTGGGTGGAGAAGACTGCCTGAGTGTGGAATAGACCTGGAATGAGCTAATCCCCAGAGCTGCCAGGAAGAGTTGCCCCTAGTGATAGGTGGACCCCCTGGCACTCCCCTGGGAAGCAGTGAAAAGGAAAGAGAGAAACTGAGGCATACATAGGACTCATTAAAAAAAATTCCCATGTTGTCACTATCTGTTCATGTGACTAGTGTTTTCCTCTTTTTCCCAAAAGCAAAGCCTGTCTCAGCTGGGAAATCAAATGTACCACTGTGGTGCAGAGGATACTCCAGGATTGATTTTCATTGTGGCTGGGTTTTCTCATTTTCCCAAGCTGGTTGTCTGTGCCCATGTGCTGACTCCTGGTCAGATGGCAGTATGATCTCAGCAAGGCTGCTTGTGAGACCAGCTGGAGTATATCACTGAAGTCCTTTAAAGGGAGAACAGCCCACAGATGAATTCCAAAGCAGCATACGGCATTACTACAGGTCAGCAGCTTCTCTGGCAAACTTGGGCTAGGTGCAGTGCAGTGCAGAAAGTAGACCAGACAGGCCACAGGTGCTTTGTGGGATAGTAGTGGGAGGAGCCATCGGGGCTTTTTTGCGCAAAGCAGTTCTTCCCTGTCTACACTGGCTCTCTTGCACAGGTATTCTTGCACAAGAGGACTTTTCCTCAAGTAGGAGCGTGAAAGTATTTGCGCAAGCAGCACTGATTTTGTACATTAGAAAGCCAGTGCTCTTGTGCAAATTCAAGTGGCCAGTCTAGACGCACCCACTTGGGTATAGTTGCAAATCAGTTTGTAAGATTCAGACACTGCCATAAATTAAACCAGATGTGCTATTGTTTGCAAATGACAATATTTCTTTTCTTTCTAGCAGCATAAAATGCCAGGCATCCATTCAATGCTTGATTTGTAATGGAAGATGTGTCAGGGCTCAAGCAATTTTTGTTTATATTTGTAACTGATGCAGTAAGTCAAGCAGGGGCTATGCACTGGCTAGTGTGGAGGTGCTGAAAGCTCAGCCCCAGCACAATTTAAGCGCTGATTCCATTGCTCTAAAATGCTCGAAACAGTCAGAATTTTGCTTAAACCGCTTGACAAAGGGGAGGAAGATTCTTCTTCAAAAACTGGGAAATAAGTAACAGCAGCTAGATGTTTATCGGGAAATGAGTAATGCAAACGAACTGGCTGTCAGCAGAGATGGAGGCATAGACAGTAGGATCCAGAATAGGCTTGTAAAAAATTAATTAGCAGCAAGTGGGGCAAGAATGATGTTGCGTTGGTTCAGTGCAGAGATATTGTTTCATTTAATGAAAATGACTGAACTAGAGAACTGACGTAAACATTTCTGAATAGCAAGTGGTTTTTTTTTGCAGATAACAAACATCAGACCTTAAAGTGGTATAAAAGGGCCAGATTTTCAATAGTAGGATTTTCAAAAGCACCTGAACAACTAACACCTCTCGCTTTGATTTGGCTGGGACATACGTGCCTACCCTGCCTCAGCATTTTTGAACATCCTTTTAACTATCTAGAGAATTCTGAAAATCCATTCCAAAGTTGCTGTGCATATAGTGTGTGTAGTGTGGTGGTGGTCTTAGAATTTACTGGTGCTAGAGATCGTTTCATGAAATAAGAAGAGGTGGAAAACCAGCAAAAACTACTTCACTCATTTCCCCCAAAAATATTTCTCCTGCAAGGGTGGTAGGTAATCCAATATTCCAATGTTTTGCCAGTCCTTGAGAACCACATCGAAAACTGCTGAGTAACAAGTGAAACTGACTAGCTGATTTGCTGAATGAATATGTATTGATCCAGCAAACAGTCTGAATACTGAAAATGGAGGGCTAGTTTGCAATTAAAACACTGCAGTGGTGCAGCTATACCACCACAGTACTTCAATGAAGATACTACCTACACCCACAGTAGGGGTTTTCCCATCAGCGCAGGTACTCAACTTCCTGGAGATGTGATACCTAAGGTGCTGGGCAGTGACATAGCGAGGGGAGGCACTTGCCCCTGGGTGCCATGCTGGGGGAGGGAGGGGCGCCAATTTAGTACCCCTCCGGTCCCCCTGTCATTCCTTGGCTCGCCTGCTTCTCCTCTATCTGTCGGTGCCGGCTCGAGACTCCTCTCTGCCCCCAGCCCAACCCTCCTCTATCGCTGCTGATGGGTTAGTACATGCGGGGGCCAAGCCCCAAACTGGAGGGAGGCAGGGGAAGACGTGGTACAAGCTCTCCACTCTCTCCCACCCCTCCCCCCCAGGTTGGGCTCAGCTGTGCTCCAGGTTTAGGGCCCCTCCGCATGTCGGGAGGGGAGGCACAAACTTCGTCTTTGCCCCTGAGTGCATAACACCCTCACTATGCCTCTGGTGCCGGGAGATTTTTCCCCTCGACATAGTGTCTTCATTTGGGCTTAAATCAGTTTAACTGTATTTCTTTGGGGTGTAGCTCTTTCAGTCTTCAGCAGCACAATTATATAGACCTAATTTCCTAGTGTGGACCAGGCTGAAGGCTATGTCTGCACCAATGTTCCCTCTAATTTTTTTCCATTCATGTGTGGAATACATTTTATGTGTACCAAACCATGTGTAGAGGTGCACCACCTGTAGAAACACATGCAGCATGTTTAGATGAACTGGAGCTAGGTTTGATCTACTTGTCTCAAGTAACAACACTGCTAAGGTTCCCAAGATCCTGGGAGATCTTGCACGGCCTGTACAGTGTTTCTGTGGCTTCCTTCGTATTGTTAATCAAGACAGATCAAAGCTTGCTGTGGTATATCTACACCTGCTGCAGTCACATGTCTGACTGCAATGGAGACCTACCCTGTGGGGCTAGTGACCTAGATAAGGACAAGTTTTTTCACCCAAGTGCCCCTTTAAATGCTTTAAAATGTAATATTCAAATGATTCTGACTGAGCTAGGGAAGGAAGCTCTGTTGGATATTGGCCAAACATCAGTTTAGAGGACACAGCTAGTAGCAAAGACAGCTGCATCAGAGACAACAAATAGAGGTCAGACTAAAGCGATTTGTTATTTTAGCATATTTCCAACTAAGGTTTAGATGGAGGGCCTGATTCTGCATTCCTTGGGCCTAATGCATCTCACTTACTTCAACATAACTGCATCCATTGCCTATGGAGTTCTCTTCTGTCTGGCACTGGTGAAAACCAGAAGTAAGTGGACTCCTAGAACTCCCACTGACACCAGGATCAGGCCCAGTGCATTGTAAAAACTGCAGATGGAAGGGTGACTAGTGCTTTTGATTTCAGTCACCTCCCAATGTCACTAAATCAACAATGGAAAAGTAATAAGGCCAAACCCTGAAGTCCATTACTTAGTCAAAGCTCTCAGGCTATGTCTAGACTGCAGGCTTCTTTCGAAAGAGGCTCTTTCGAAAGCATCTTTCGAAAGAGCCTCTTTCGAAAGATCGCGTCTAGACTGCAGGCGGATCTTTCGAAAGAGCAATCCGCTTTTTCGAAAGAGAGCACCCAGCGAGTCTGGATGCTCTCTTTCGAGGAAGCCCTATTTACATTGAAGAACGCCTTCTTTCGAAAGAGGAACTTTCGAAAGAAGGCGTTCTTCCTCGTGAAACGAGGTTTACCGCCATCGAAAGAAAAGCCGCATTCTTTCGAAATTATTTCGAAAGAACGCGGCTTGAGTCTGGACGCAGGGGAAGTTTTTTCGGGAAAAGGCTACTTTTCCCGAAAAAACCCCTGAGTCTGGACACAGCCTCAGTGAAGCCAAAAGACATTCTGCCTGAATAAAACCAGTGTGGTAAAAGTTTGGGGCTAGAATAACATAAAATAGATAAACGACTGTAACCAGCTCTCAGCTCCTTATCAGCTAGTCATACATACCCAAAACCACGTCTACAAAAAGAGTGTACGGAAGAAATTCCCTCCTATCTGTCAGTGTACCAGAGATGTATTCTCTAGGCCTTCTCTAGAGGAGAGACAAAGAATAATATCAGTGATAATATTTGTCACTTGCATACAGCCCATTAACTCGCTCGCTATGACACTGTTTGTGTCAAATCCTAAAATGGTGTAAATTGGGATAGCCTTGCGGATGTCAATGGACAGATTAAGTGCTGGAGAAATCAGTACAGGTGTTGTGGTACTATGTATGGCTAATTGTACCAGCTTTTGTTTTGTTTAAAAAGGCTGAAACTCTTGAGCTCGGCCATCTCCTTCCCACAGCAGTTTAACAGCAAAGCAGCAGGCATATGCTTGGCATAGGAGCCTTCACACATCACTGGAGTCCCATTTCCCAGGTATCTCACAGATATCCTAATTAACCTCCCAATCAAATATTTTTCAGGTTGCCTCCACAGTCCATGAGGGGTGGGGCTGGAAATCTCCTGTCTGCTGATAGCTCCCCAGAGCTGCAAGCATCAACATAGGATTCCAACGTTTTGCTAGTTCAGTAAGCCATCCAGAGGCAGCATTTCTAGCTCTAACTCTTCCAAGTGGTCTATCCAGAGCTCTCTCACATCTTTAACACCTAGTTTAAGCTGGTGTATTTAAAGACACCTCTTTGAAATGCTCTTAGGGAAAATGGGAACTGGTATGAAGAAATTAATTTTCAATTAGCATCTATAAGACAGGGACAAATTCACACTCATGAATAAATCCATCAGGGCTAATGGTGCTAATAGTGTTAAATTAGTGTGAGATCACAAGCAGGTTTTTTTCTCACATGTACACACACACAAGTGGCACGCAGTTGTCAATCTGTCCAGGGGAGGAGGTTGCATAACAGTTTATGTATCAGAGGTGTAGCCATGTTAGTCTGAATCATGCATCTGACGAAGTGGGTCTTTGCTCACGAAAGCTTATGCTCCTACACTTCAGTTAGTCTATAAGGTGCCACAGGACTCCTCGCCGCTTTTGTATAATAGTTTATATACATATTCTTTTGTTTCTGCAGAATATCAGACTTGGTGCAGAATAAAGTTTCCAAATGTTTTTGCTTGGATCTATGACAGGCTTGGCAGAACAGTTTTTAATTATTTTGATGGACAATATCTGCTTTTAAACACTGAATAATGCTTATCACTTTACATTTTTATAGGTGCAGGAAATTATTAGGTGGGGTTAGGCAAAAACTGACAGTCTTTGAGATTAGAAAATGTAAAGCTTTATAGCAATTAAAACACAAGTTGTCAACATCACATGTCAAAATATACAAAGTAAATAGCCTCGGTGCAAACTAAGTTCTCAGTCCAAAGACCAATATTATTTATTGGTAAATGTCAACTATCAATGGAAATATTTTTACTCAAGGTGTGTGTGCGCTTGCCTTCGATACAAATCTAATCCTTCCAGTTCTTGGAACGCTGTATCTGCCTCTGCTGGTGCAATCCACATCTTGTTTTTGTGGCAAATGGCACTTATAGGTAATCGCACAAATATAAGAAAGTTTGCTCTCAGGGAGGGGACACTGTTCAGCTGTGTTGGGGGTTCAAGCAAGTTAAGCAGCCTGGTTACTGGAAATGCTAGAAGGTGCACAGATAAGGACTTGATATCCAAATGGTGGTGGTTATGGGCCATACTGATGCACTCACCAATGGTGTCACACTCTGAATAGCCCTATGGAAATAAATGGCGCTACTTGAGCATACTACTGAGTATAAAGGTAACAGGATGAGGCTCTGTATGAGTGTCTCCTGGCATCAGAATATGGGGAGACCTCATGGCAAGTTTGGAGAAGGACATGTCTTCTGGCCAAATGCCACGGGGTAAATTTTAGCATAGTAGCAGCAGCTGGAAATGGAGATCAAATCCACGAAGCACTGGAGTCCCCACTCAGATGCTGGGAAACAAGTTGAATGAATGAAAAAAATATATATATGGGAAATTCAGGCTAGAGTCTGGGAGCAGAGGCAAAACCCCAAGTTACGTCTTTAAGTGGCATGTTCCTCCAACTCCGGGAGCCTCAAGAAAGAATTGTGCCTTCCTGAGGTAGATCCATCCCTTCTCAGAGCGGGAGCTAAATGCCACAAGGTGCCACTTCCTTAAAAACACAGCAAAAGCAATCAAACTGCTTGCTCCTTCCTCCCCAAACCTCTTACACCAGGCCCTATGATTTCATCACGTTCTGTTTTAAGAGAAATTGAAGGACATCATCTGACAATCCTGGTGTTCGCTTTCCTTTTTCCAGTGCCACTTCTCCATTAGCTGGTGCTGAGAAACAAGCTTTACTGGAGTGGTCTGGAAAGACCTGGCACCCATCTCTGTTCAAGACCATCTGGGCCATGTAGAGACTGCGCAAGGCGTATTTTCTTCCATCCTTGTTTGCTACCTCCTGAATTTTGAGAGCGAGCCTTTCTGAAGCTGCATTGTATTTGGGATCCTCTTTGCTGGGCTGCTGCTGACAGCACGTTTCATAGAAGCTATCTAGAGACTTTCTAATGCTGGTGTCCTCTGTGCCCTCGTGCTCATCTGTCCAAGAAGATGGAACCCCACCATGTCCAGCGGCTTGAAATGGCATTGCAGTTGGATGATGTCTAGAATTTGCTGCCTCATAATGTTTAGGCCAAATTCTCATGCTAGCTGCATGCTGAGTTTTTTCGGAATCTGGGCTACCAGCACCTGCAAGCAGAGAAACACAGAAATAGGTTAGATGTTCAGGAAACGGAGAAACTACCCGTAGGCTGCAGCTAACTAAAAACTGTCCTTGTGGCTTGGGAATCAAAGCCTCTCCACCGCTGTCCAGCTAGTGATCTCAGAGCAAGGTTTCCCTAAGGCATGGGCCTCTCCACCTTAAAGTGGTGCACTCATCCCTGGAGAAGGACAGCTTTGAACACTGACCAAGCCTCCACAACAGGCTGGCACCAGGGCTCCTCAAGAGATGGGCAAATTACAACTCACATAGGCCCTGGTTTCACACTACAGCTAGCTCAATCCACTTCATTGTGCTGGCTGGATCCCCCCTCATGCTCCTAGAAAAGTGAGAGGGTTGCAGGTAACTTGCAGATTTTTGGGCAGTTCTGGCTCTGGCCATTGGCAGCAGAAAGTGGGAAGTGAACAGATCTAAGGATTGCCGCTCTAGGCAGCTTCATGGCTTAATCTTCTCCACAGCTCACTTTGCTTTTGCTGTTCTCTTCTGTTGGCTTTAGAACTGCGTTCTTCATCTGACCACCCTTGCTGTGTGTAGAGTCCTCTGCTCCAGCCTTCTACCAGCACCTTACAGATAGCTGCTAGAGGTCAGAGCCTAGTCCCAGACAAGTCAGTGTGTCTTACTATTGGATTGTATCGGGTAACCATGCTCCTCTATCCTAAGCCTCACTTTTCCTGCTCACTCAATCAAAATTCTCCCTCCCACGTTGCCTTCCTGTGAGACTTTCTATTTGTTTCAGCTCTTGGCGCATTCTAGTCTAGCTCTCGTCTCATTTCCTTGCTGATCAACATTCAGTTGCACCGATTCACTCCTCCTGCTCCCATTGAAATCAGTAGGCGTGATCTGCAGCCAGGCACCTGTGTATTATTCATGCAGTATTACAGGCACTCTGCAGCTGTGTGTGAAAGCAGGTGAGTTTACAACAGGGTACATACATGTTGCAGCCTAAATAGCCTAGAAGACAACAGGCTCCTCTAGCTGCATTCTCCGGTCTGCCCCTTTCCTTTAAGCTAATTCGCAGAATACCTGAGGCACTGACAGGAAGGAATTTTTAAGGGCTAATCCAGGTCAGTTGACTTGGGCTGTGGGGCTGGAGAATTGCTATGTAAATCAGCAACCTGCAGCCCATCAGGGTTCTATGTGTGGACTGAGAAACATTTTGTTTACTGTTGTGCACGTGCAGGGTTGCCAGATTCCGCTAGTTTCTGTCCATGTAGCTTTTTCCCCACTGGTATTACTACAGTGACACATACAAAGCAAGGGCATGTAAAATGAGGTGTGTGCTGATTGGCACACAACACTGAGGTCCACACGCTGCCTCTGCAGCCAATCAAAGCGCTGCTACAGTTCAGTCAGCACACCCTGAAAATTCTTGGTATGCAAGCATAGTGAGCAAAACTACCCTGTCCTGGGAGACCATGTCTGTTACTGCTCACTGAGATAGAGGGCACTTTTGCAGCCCTCTCGCTAGCCTAGGTTGTCCATCGCTGGCGTAGATGTGTGGATCTGGGATCCTGTGAGCCTGAAAATCTACACAACTGATCACAGGTTTGTTTGTTTGTTTGTTTGTTTGTTTGTTTGTTTGTTTGTTTGTTTGAAATCCATGTGTAGACTTAGCTTCAGGGCTCCTTTCTGCTCTTCACTCAAGATGGTGCCACTGGCTTCAGATCACGTGAGCAGTGTGCAGCAATTCAGAAAATAGTCGGGTCCCTTATAATTCATTGGCATATGAAATGGTGCAAAACCCTTCACTTAAATTAGCAATCTGATTGAAAGAACCTCTTTCCCCTCCCATAAAGGGCTGTCTTAATATGGAGGCACGATGCCTGTGGTCCTTGTTTGTGTGCAGAGATGTATTTAAAATGAAGGCAATAGAATAGCCATACAGTATATTGGTTCAAGAGCGCTTCCTCACTTTACTTTCCACCCTTTGATCTTTCCTTTCAAATTGACTTCACCTTCAATTCTGAGATGAAACAGCAGCCTGCCTTACACAAAGGCATTTCTAAGCTAGTACAAAGAGAAGCTTACATCAATACATGCCACCATGATAGCAAATCAAAAGCTAATAAGAGCAGGTCCATTTTCCCTTAATAATCCATCAGCCCAGGCTTAGGTCTGAATTTTATGAATTGTGCATCTTCAATAACTCAGACAACACAAACTCAACTCCCGGGACCACCTCAAACTCCCCACACTGCCATCTTCTTGCTAGTACATGCAGCTCACCATTCAGTTTTGTGAAAAAGCAGCAGTTGCCACAACCTGCAAATACAGAAACCCTGCATGAACCTGTTGGCAAGCACAAAGCTCCAGTAACTTTGCATTCTCAGAATAGATTTCTGCTGTTGTTCCTTTTTCCTGGTGATAAACAAGCATGATCCTATTTGCTGCCTTCTCCGCTTACACACAACTCAGCATAGGAGTGACTGGAAAATACGGAAGTGACTGTGTGTTGTTCCTGACTGAGGCAAAAAAATCTCATGTACAGTTACAGGAGTAACTAAACTCAGCAGGGAGCTTCTGTCTTCACAATTGTAGTCACTGTTCGCTCTGATCCAGAGCCCCCTATAAGGGAAATCACCTAAATGGCTCACCTAGGAGCCTTTCCATTAGTTTCAATAGGCTTTGGATCTGACCTCCCAGCTGGCCAAGAATGTATAGAATGACCAACCAGGCTGCAAGCACTAAGCAGATGGCCACTAGCATGACCGTACTTACCATGCATGTGTGACACTGCCAAATAAATACGGAAGTGATCTCTAAATAAGTGATTACCTCACTCGAGTCTCTGCTCCCAGCTATAGCCTCTGCTTGCGCAAACAGAAACCTCTCCATTGTAACCCTCAGCATTTTCCTCTTGCTCTGGGCCTTTTTCACTCTAGCATTCTGAAGGGGAGGTGTTCAAACTCAGAAGTCAGACACCCAAACTGTAGTGAGACCAGCTAGACTTTTTCCAAATGCAGGTGCATCATTGCTCACTCAAAGTGGAAGGTTCTGATAATCCATTTAATTTTCTCTAGAAAGTCACACCACAAATTAGAGCATAAATAACTCCCACCTGCTAGTGCACTGAACCTGCCTGCCTGCCTTTGCTTTTTAGATGTCATGCCAGGCTAAAGTCTCTCTGAGCTCCCATGGGGACTCCTGAATACGGTCTTCCAGCAGAGCCACTGCTTACACTGCCTTTAACAATACACCTGGGCCTTGCACATCTCTAAAAATAAATTCCATCTGCCATCCTGCCATAGAATCCCCTCTGTGGGTTTAAATCCAGCTGCGCTAACGTTACCCCCTCCCCTCCTGGAGAGCCCTAGTAAGCTGGCTTCCCACTGGTGACTCGTTTGGGAGATGAGGAAAGGAGCCTCTTGGGTGAAAGGCATTCTGCAATGGCCATGAGCTGGATTAGTAGCTGGGGTCCCTGTACCACCTCCCAAGAGTGGAAGGTGCATTACGAAGCCATGGAATGAAGCCAGCATAAATCTACCCGCTGCCTGCTCCTGATATGTTACCCTCCAGAGAGAAGAGAGAGTAGAAGGTATCAAGTTCCTGACAGCACAACTGTATCCCAATGGCTCTTCGGTATCCTGTGACCACTCTTAGAGGCGTCTAGAGTTTCTCAGGCCTTCCTTGGAGAACTCAATGCCAATTTTACAATGTCCGAAGGCTTCAAAGAGCCTGAACCAAAGATCATGAAAACCTTAGGAGAGGTCAGTTAGGTTTCAGCAGATATAGGAGGCTCGGTTCTCGGCGGATGTAAATCCCTGTACCGCCATTTATTTTCAGCTGATTTACACGGCCTGAATATCTTGTCCAAACTGTCTTTAAATATCCTCACTTACCTATTTATGCGGCAGACTGTATGTGAAATCCCATCCCATTACTCACTGTGCTTACACTCTCATGAGAAATAATAATCAGTAAGAAGGCGTATTACTTGATCCGTCTCCACAGTAGTTGGAGATGGGCCTTTGTAACTTACTTGCAGCTGAAAAAGGATAATTCTGCACGTTTATTACCCTACTGATCATTTTAATTCTCCACCTGTTGGAAGTGAATCCCCACATGTGAAAGAGCATTGAACTTGGGACTCCTTTCAGTAATGCAGGAGCACTTCAGCTTTATTTGCTTCCCCAAATCAGCTTGCACCATTGTTGGAGAGTTTATAGCCATGCTAACGGCTCTGCTGAGCAAATATAGCTGAGGTGTAAAATTAGATATTCATTGCCAGGAAAGAGCAGAGGGAGAGCTCACAGCTCAGCTGAATCGCTAGAGAATGAGGGAGTCTGCTCTGTTAGGATGGCCTAAGCTTCTTATGGTTGTTTCTAAGATATCAGAGAAGCTGTTATGTCCATGTCCCATCTATGCAAGGTTTGGCTGGTGAATATGTGTAGCTGCAGATGATTCCTTGCTGACCTCTCCCACAGCTTTCTTCCATGCTGGTCCCAGAGAGCTCCATACACATGGTACAGAGTTCCTCTCCCTGGGTCTTCCATGTTCTGTCTCCTCCCCTAAATAGCAGAAAGTTGCCTGCCCTGCTGATGCTGGCCTAGAAGAGGTGTGTGTCCCTTTGTTCTGAATTGAACCAAGGTTTTTACAAAAACCTTGCTATAGTATGAAAGAACTGAATAGCACTGTGTCATAAGAGGCATGTGACACGTCCTCTGATAAGAGTAACTAAACCTCATGCTTCAGAACATAAACTGATGGCCGTAGGGCTCAGGGACAAATCTGAGAACAGCAGGGCAAAAATGGACAGGTGCATTATGGGCCTTTCCAAAGCCCTTTGAAGTCAGTGGGGATCTTTTCACTGAGGTCTATGATGGAGCCTCGCAGGAGGATTTAGATGCTTGTGTGATGTCAGCTATTAGCAACCAGTGGAGGAAGGTTTTGGGACAAGATGGAGCTAAATTTGGAGCAGCATCACCCAGCTCCATCTATGTATGGTCCCTTTTGGGGGGGAGGGGTAGGC